TCCTGTCAGCTAAGAACAGGAAACGGAGGCTACAATTCGCACAGGCTCACCAAAATTGGACAATAGAAGATTGGAAAAACGTTGCCTGGTCTGATGAGTCTCAATTTCTGTTGCGACATTCAGATGGTAGGGTCAGAATTTGGCATAAAGAACATGAAAGCATGGATCCATCCTGCCTTGTCTCAACGGTTCAGGCTGGTGGTGGTGGTGTAATGGTGTGGGGGATATTTTCTTGGCACACTTTGGGCCCCTTAGTACCAATTGAGCATCATTTAAACGCCACAGCCTACCTGAGTATTGTTGCTGACCATGTCCATCCCTTTATGACTACAGTGTACCCATCTTCTGATGGCTACTTCCAGCAGGATAATGCACCATGTCACAAAGCTCAAATCATCTCAGACTGGTTTCTTGAACATGACAATGAGTTCACTTTACTCAATTGGCCTCCATTCACCAGATCTCAATCCAATAGAGCACCTTTGGGATTCGCATCATGGATGTGCAGCCGACAAATCTGCAGCAACTGCGTGATGCTATCATGTCAATATGGACCAAAATCTCTGAGGAATGTTTCCAACACCTTGTTGAATCTATGCCACGAAGAATTAAGGCAGTTCTGAAGGCAAAAGGGGGTCCAACCCGGTACTAGCAAGGTGTACCTAATAAAGTGGCCAGTGAGTGTATATAAAACCATATTACAGTCACAAAAACAAGCATGTGGGTCAAATGCAAGTGCATTTAAACGGTTTATTACAGTTTATTTAAAAACATACACTTGCTATAAAAGCCATTGCATTTCAGCGTCTTGTAGGTTGTCTTATATCGCTCATTTTTAAAAGGGTATAATAAATACAGAATATGAAAGTATTTGTCACACACATCTCACTCATCCTTGGCTACTCTTTCCAGTAATTATTGCCTTCCGTTTGAGTTCATATTCTAACAATGCCACAAAATAAAACAAACCATATACAAGCAACAATCAAAACCGCCCGGATCTAAATGACAATGCTTTTTTAATCTCAGATATTAACAGAAAGCAGAAGCAGAAGTTAGAAAGCAGAATTATATGCTAGTGTTGCTGAATGTAATCTGTCCTTGTTGTTGAATTTGATATTTGGATTGAACTCTTTTCCAGTTGATTTAGATAAATATAGATATTTAACAATTGTACATGTCTAAATGCACATGAGTGAAGAGCTTACAGAGGGTGCGAGTTTCATTTTTAAATCTCTTGCTCGCACATTCATGGTGTTCGAATAAAGTACAAGGGTAAAAGCAGAGTGCTCAGTGCATATGCATAATATTCTCACCAATACACATTGGTAACTTGAAGCTTTGGATGCAAGGGTGGCCGACGCTAGACATTATCTAGGAGCGCATTTCTAAGGCACAACATTGCAGAAGAGAGAAAGGCAACAGAACACATTAAACCGATTGTAACGGAATCATTTCAAAAGCTAAAAGAAAAGGATTACACTTTACATTACAGTGTTTATTACATAATATACTTCTGATTATGTGGAGCTTCTTTGCACAGTTTATGTTATTACTTTAGTCATTCATTTTAGTAGCTTGTAACATGGACATTGTAATGTAAAGTTTCAGGGATCATGCAATCTTCTTACCACTCAACTGCAGAGGCAAAACGTAAATACTAATAACAAAGTTTGAAAAATAATCAAATGGAAATGTAAGATCTACCCTTAGCAACATGCTGTCTACATGGTGTTAAACAATACTGCACAAACAACGTATCAAACCCCTCACTGATCAAACCAGATAAAACAGCCAATGAACAGAACGTTTCAATCAAAACCACTCCAGTTCATGTTTTCAAACCATAAACAAAAGTGACGGACAATCTTATCTGTATTCATTTCGTGTTGTCAGTTAAGGCTTCAGGACAAATCATCTAGGCCTAAGAGTCGCACAACATCATGCGTTCGTCTGTTAGTGGAATAACAGTTGCCTAACATACCTGCAAGGCCTTTACAAAAACTGAGATGATTGATTATTGATAAAATAATAGATGCACATTTTCTTAAATGAAAACTGGATGCTTGTGCTACCTCATGTTCCACAACAGAAATGGATTCAGGCTCACTCTACATCACAGTGCCCGTGTTACAATGCATTTACATAAGAAAGTTCTTGAGCAATACTCATGAACAACATGTAGTTAATTTGTGGAAGTTTAGAATTCCATGTCATTGCTGTTAGGCCAAAAACATCCTCTAAACAAGTACACGAATGCAGATGCTTCTGCACCCTCAGTAGTGAGCATACTAAACTATAGTGTCAATTTCACACTTCAAAAAATGCCACTGGCTAAAACATCTAATAAAATGAAATACCTGCCAACTATGAAAATGATATATCTGCAACAGTTTTAAGAGAATCTTGGTTTTAGATTTTTATAAACACTTATACGCTCTCTATACGAGTACTTTTAAGGTACCTAAATGGTATATATTAGTATCTTTTGAGAAGAAACTGCCCCAACTGTTGTGAGAGTGCAGGTGGCTACCTAAATATTATTTGAGTTAATGGCACAGGCATTTGACATTATGTCTATCACCACCTTTAGGACTGAGGTTTGATAGTGCACATTAATGCAAGAAAGCACATCTTTATTTGCGTAAAGCGTTTTCAGGTCTTATCGTTATTGAAATGTGTGTAACATGGCCACTGTGAGGTAAAGTGCTACCAGTACTTCTTATTCTAACAGTATGAACAAACTGCTGTAATCGCTGTAATATTCTATGGACTCTTTATCGTGTAAGCGATAAGGTCATATTTCAGCGAGTGCAAAGAAAGTCCAGAGGAAAACCCATCATTTGTCCACGATTCCAGTTTTGACATTAATGTCTATGCTTGATTGTGCTGTAAGGAAAACAGTTGGAAACGTCGTATAAACATAAAATCTGTTTTTCTTGGTTATGGTCATGGGTTGGTTTAAGATGTCAGTTCCATTTCCTTGTCAGAAGTTCAGAGGCATCACAATGTTGTTGGCTGGCCAGCAGCTGCAAGGAAGGAGCACATTAAAACTGTTCTGAAAAGATGTTTAGGACTGTTCTACCCTTGCACCATAACAAGGGTACTAGAAAAACATATTATCACATTTTTAAAAACTATGATACATTTATACTTTAATTAAAAATATTTTATGGTAAATTACTACAAAAAATTGCATTTGTTTTTTACTGCTAAAAATAAATAACAAATAGTGGACCACCAATGAGACAATGTCAATGAAGGGCTTGATATGAATTATGTCATGTGATGTGTGAAGAAAACAATGAAAAATCAATGCAAATATCACTTGAATGCACTATTTCTATTGTTCTTCTCTTCTAATGTAATTTTGTCAAATTATGTAAAAAGTGCAAATATCAAATATTATTAAATTGTAATTATAAAATACATTATAATATTTAACTGTGTGAATTTAAAGGGATAGTTCACCAAAGAATGAAAATTTGATGTTTATCTGCTTACCCCCAGGGCATCCAAGATGTAGGTGACTTTGTTTCTTCAGTAGAACACAAATGAAGATTTTTAACTCAAACCGTTGCAGTCTGTCAGTCATATAATGGAAGTGAATGTGAATCACGGCTTTGAGAGTCAAAAAAACGTACACAAACAAAACCAAATTAAACCCTGCGGCTCATGACGATACATTGATGTATAAAGACACGAAACGATTGGTCTGTGCAAGAAACTGAACAGTGTTTATATCATTTTTTACCTCCGGTGCGTGACGCGTGTACATGCTCTGGCATAGTAGACATAGATATATATAAGAAGATTCCCGCGGCCCATAGAAACAGTCACTAATGAGGCATCTACGTATATACTGTATATCTATGTCTACTATGCCAGAGCATGTACACGCGTCACGCACCGGAGGTAAAAAATGATATAAACACTGTTCAGTTTCTTGCACAGACCGATCGTTTCGTGTCTTTACACATCAATGTATCATAACGAGCTTTAATTTGGTTTTGTTTGTGTATGTTTTTTTGACTCTCAAAGCCGGGATTCCCATTCACTTCCATTATATGACTGACAGACTGCAACGGTTTGAGTTAAAAATCTTCATTTGTGTTCTATTGAAGAAACAAAGTCACCTACATCTTGGATGCCCTGGGGGTAAGCAGATAAACATCACATTTTCATTTTTGGGAGAACTATCCCTTTAAGATAAACAAAATGCTAGCTATAAAATTAAGCCGAGCAAGATGTTTCTAGTTTAGGTTTCTAAACACAGTACATAATTTGAAATGTGGTGGAAATTTGACAGAAATGACAAAACGCTTGGTGAGATTGTGAAAAGTCTTTTAAGAGTTTATTTTCTAAAAAGTCAACAGGGGGCACATAGTCAAAGAAAGTTTTTAAATAATTAAAACCTAATGCCATAAGAACACAGATTTTACTCACAGATTTCCCTGTTTATCTTACAAAATCCAAAAAAGGGGAATTACAATAACCTGCACATTTAGGATCATGTTTAAGATACAATTAAAACACATTAAGACTCACCCCTTGATTTTATGTAGCATTCTTGACAATTAAGAAGTCCATTACGAATTCTGACGTCAGTTCCAGCACTTGAGTTGCCCAGTAACCCTTTACATATGCCACACTAGAACACATTAGATATTCATATAAGAGGATGTACACATTACTCACATATAGAGAGACTAACACAAATGAGCATTACCTTAAAACACTGAATATGGAAGTACAACCCCAAGCTTTCAATGATCATAGCTGCTCCTTTACCCAACGGATGTGCACAACTGGAGCAAAGCTTCTTTCCACTTACTGACCTGCAGAGGGCGCCATACAAAGCCATATATATTCATGTCAAACTTGAACAACTAGCATTCTCGTCTTGTCAGGTCTTGGAAGAAAAGTAATAATAAGAAAAATTGTAATATTTGTAGGATTATAAATAGTATAAAATAGGTCAAAATGGGGTCTTAAAGTCTGAGACCAACATTATTAGATATTTTTATAGGCTACATATGTTTTATTTTGAATACAAATCTCTTTGGTTTGGTTATTAGAGGTTTAAATAAACTTAAAAAATCAGTGGGGTCCCAGACCTTAAAGTGGTAACAAATGCAAAAACGTAATACAGGCACGCAATTTAAATAAGCATTTAGCATGATTATGTAACTCCTGAAATGAAAGCCATGATTATGCCTTTCTAATCGTGGTGGCACAACTTGGATCATATGCTGAACTTAAATCAACAGTTTTGCATTTCAAATGGATGCATTAAAGGAACAGTTCATCCAAAAATGTGAATTTGCTCAAAATTCACTCACTCTCAAGCCATTCAAGTTGTAGATGAATTTGTTTCTTCATCAGAACAGATTTGGTGAAATGTAGCATTGCATCACTTGCTCACCAATGGATCCTCTGCAGTGAATGGGTGCCGTCAGAATGAGAGTCCAAACAGCTGATAAAAACATCACAATAATCCACAAGAAATCCACACGACTCCAGTCCATCATTTAATGTCTTGTGAAGTGAAAAGCTGCATGTTTATAAGAAACAAATCCATCATTAAGGCGTTTTAATTTGAAAGCATTGCTTCTGGTGAAAGAAAAATTTAATAATTTCTGGACAAAGTACCAGTCCATGATCTATATCGCTTCCTCGAGTGAAAAAGTTCATACCCAGTTGTTTTCTCATATTACATTCCATCAACATATTTGTTTAGAACTGTTTTGGCTTATAAGCAGTGCTTCATCTGTGCATATTTCTGTCCTAAATGAGATGAGATGGGTCTAGTTTCACTGGAGAAAGCAATGTTATGAAACCAGAGTTAAAAACATCATAATGATGGTTTTGTTTCTTACAAACACACAGCTTCTCACTTCACAAGACGTTAATTGTTGGACTGGAGAGGTGTGGATTTCTTGTGGATTATTGTGATGTTTTTATCAGCTGTTTGGACTCTCATTCTGACGGCACCCATTCACTGCCCATCATTTAATGTCTTGTGAAGTGAAAAGCTGCATGTTTATAAGTAAAATCCATCATTAAGACGTTTTAATTTGAAAGCATTGCTTCTGGTGAAAGAAAAATTTAATAATTTCTGGACAAAGTACCAGTCCATGATCTATATCGCTTCCTCGAGTGAAAAAGTTCATACCCAGTTGTTTTCTCATATTACATTCCATCAACATATTTGTTTAGAACTGTTTAGGCTTATAAGCAGTGCTTCATCTGTGCATATTTCTGTCCTAAATGAGATGAGATGGGTCTAGTTTCACTGGAGAAAGCAATGTTATGAAACCAGAGTTAAAAACATCATAATGATGGTTTTGTTTCTTACAAACACACAGCTTCTCACTTCACAAGACGTTAATTGTTGGACTGGAGAGGTGTGGATTTCTTGTGGATTATTGTGATGTTTTTATCAGCTGTTTGGACTCTCATTCTGACGGCACCCATTCACTGCAGAGGATCCATCGTTGAGCAAGTGATGCAATGCTACATTTCTCCAAATCTGTTCTGATGTAGAAACAAACTCATCTATATCTTGGATAGCCTGAGGGCGAGCACATTTTCAGCAAATGTTCATTTTTGGGTGAACTATTCCTTTAAACAAGTACTTTTGCATTTAAATTAGATGCAATAAATCTTATAGGCCAGTTCAACAGCATGACGCAGTCTCTGTGTCTGAGTGAAGCGCACAAATGCTTTCGTAGCCTATTACTGAAATGCTCCACACACACACACACACACACACACACACACACACACACACACACACACACAGAGGTTTGTTTTTATGGTATATGGAGACTCTCCATACGTGTAAGAGTTTTTCTCGTTGTAATACCTATGTCATACCCATGTTATTATATAAATTTGTGTCCTCATAAACCACATAAACATGCACACACACACACACACACACACACACAGAAATAGAAAGGAAGAAAGGTAAGAAGACAGGGTGCACCTATACTGTTCCAACTTGTATGAGCACAAGTATTCGAAAGTACAGAAATTATCAATAATTAAACATAAATTTTGTAACTTGGAGGGGGGTTTTTTTCCAACTAATTTTTTTATTTTGTGATTTGTTACAGTACTATACTTGTTGTTGGGTGGCTTGTTTCTGTTGGTTACTTTAAACCTTTTCTCAGACTGGCAGAAACTATTTTTATTTTTGCAAAATATACTTATATCTTTATAG